ATTTGTTTCCTTAATTCTGATAAAAAATCCCATTAAAAAACAATTAAGCCTTAATCGAGCCTTATCAAAGGCTAATTAAAATCGCAATAAAATTTTTTGCGCGGGTAAAAATTTTTGAAAAAATTTGGAGACTTAAAAAACATTCCAAAAATCAAAAAAAAAAATTGGGGGCGAAAGGACCGCATTTTACGTTATGTAACATGCCCGAGTTAATTCGTGACTGGACATTAAGGGGTAAAGCTTGTTTTTGTCATGGAGCAGCGCATTGAATGGCAGGCATGTGCTTCCTGATAAATTATTTTTTCGGCAAAAAATTCATTGAACTTTGGAGACATCATTAATATAAATATAATTTTTATGACCGTTAAATAATAAATGATTTTTAGTTGGTCTGCTGCTGGTTTAAACTCAGCGGCTTGTGCAATATCTGCTATTGGTCTAGATTCGACCAATCCTGTCGTGACACGAGTTGGTGATGACATTTTGTTATACAAGTTTCTTTTAGCGTGTTTATTTGAATACGATTGCAATTATTTTGCTGTATTATATGAATCCGTTTTATAGGGGGGTCTATTGTACAAGCTAAGTCCTTTTTGAAACTAAGCCACATTATGATTGTATATGCAGTCATTTTCTTTGTAAATAGTGATTTAAAATGAAGTATGATAAAATAGTCCATAGTGATTAGTTTCATTTATTGAGTTGACATACAGTAAATATAAAATACATATCTGATACTTTAAAAAATAAAAAAAAATTAACAAGAGGAGGTTCATAAAAATTTTTATAAAGCGCACTATGTTAAATATTGTACATTTGACCCCCCCCTATATCACGGGTTCCTATAGTTTGGATTCCTATATCACAGTAAAAAAATTGTGACAGTATTCGTATAAACGTGCTAAAAAAAATTCCTATAATTTGGTAAAACGTCATCGCCGACTTGTGTCGCAACAGGATTGGTCGAATCTACACCAATAGCAGATATTGCACAAACTGTTGAGTTTAAATGAGCACTGGACTTACTAAAAACCATTTATTATTTAATGTCCATAAAAATTATATTTTTATTAATGATGTCTCCAAAGTTTAGTGAATATTTTGCAAAAAAATAATTTATCAGGAAGCACACGAGCGCCATTTGATGCACCGCTCCATGACGAAAACAAGCTTAAGCAATGGTGCTGTCGAACGGTGCACACTCGGTAAGTAATCCTACAATTTTTTGTTTATAGCATAGTTTATATGGATTATTCCCAAAAAATTATACGTATTTTGGAAATGTTGAGTCGAATTAGTCCAGACTCGATTAATTTTATGGAAGAAAACCTTTCAAACAGCCGTAGTCTGTAAACTGCACACGTGCTGGCTGTAATTGGCTGGACTCATAGAAAATGGATTCATAAAAACCGGAACGTATTTACCGTGTTATAGGGGGGTTGACTGTATTAGTTTTGTAAAAAATGTCAAATAATTTTTATTATTATTTTTATGTGTAAAATTGATATTTTTCCGTAAAAATTATTTTGTACTCTCATTAAGAACAAAAATTTTTTATTGTCTAGCACATGAGCACTCCAGAAGAAGCTGAGGAAGCTATTAAAGGTCTGAATAATTTCAACTTTATGGGATCATGTATAAGTGTTGAGGTTTGTATATAGATTTGATTGTGTGTGTGTGTGTGTTGTTCTGAAAGTTAATGAAATTTTTAAAAAATTTCAATATAGCAATCCACAAGTAAGTTGCATCCAGAACCAGGTGCACCAGGTAGAGCTAAAGGTGGACCAGGAGGTCCAATGAGGTAAATGAGCAAAATTTATGAATGTATTTGTTTTTTTTTTTTTTTCTAACAACTAATTATTTAGACGAGGGGGTATGCGAAATGGATATCCTAGAGATGGATTCTATGGAGATGCTTATTTTGGGCCATTTGGACCACCAAGAGATCCTTTTTATGACGGACCTAGTCGTTCTCGGCCCTATCCACTTCCTTATGAAAGAAGACCACCAATGCCGCAACCAGATCCTTATGGACGTCGTCCACTACCACCACCACCACCAAGAGATGATTTATATGGAAGACGTCCAATGCCATTTGGAGAAGAAGCATATGAAAGAAGACCAATGCAGGATAGACCGGACTATTTATACACAAGACGTTCTCCACCTGCCTCTCATCGGTAAATTTAATCTTTATAGTTTTTACTAGGGTTTCTCATTTCCTGGTCTTTTTCTTGTCTTAGGATTTCAAGAGAAAATTGAACTGGATCCCAGGATAGAATTAATTATTTTTAAGATATATAAAATATCTTAAAATCAAATGATATAATTATTTTTCATTTTTTAAAGTAATTTAATGGGTTCTGCAACTTCCAAAATCATATTAATTAATAATGCTGTGTAAGATATATACAAAAAAATTACCTAGAAATTTTCACAAATAGAAAAAATTTATTAAAGTTTGTTGGAAACTACATACATACATACATACCTACATACATACATACATATATATATACATACATACATATATACAACAACAACAAAAAAAAACTTGAGTTGAAAATTTAAAAAAAATGAACTTAGATCAAACTTTTAACTTAAAAGGTAATTTTTTGTTTTTTAAATAAAACATAATACCAAATATTATTGTAAATTTTTATAATAAGATTTTAAAAAGCAAAAATGGTCAATACTTCGATCACTCAATCTGATTCTTATTTTAGTAATGAAAAGTCTTGCTACCAAGAATGCCCTTTCTGATTCAATTGATGTGAGTAGAATCATGCTTAATGCATTTAAGAGAAGACAGATGCTATGTTTTTTTGCCTGTAGCCTGGAAGATTTTTAATTTGTTTTTGAGATTGTAGTACTTATTTTGCTCTCTAGTATTCTTGATTTGTCTACCTTGGCTGCTTTAATAGAAATATTAAGCTTATAGCCCAATAATTCAGCAGATCATTTGTCTTTAATAATCAAGTTTATGAAGAAAAACTTCATACTTGTTTGTATCTTTGCCCAATATGCACAACCTGGTGTTACAAAGTTACTGGGCATGGTTAAAAATTATGACAGCAAAAGCACACTTATTCCAGATGTTATAGGTTCTGACAAGTAAAGAATTTTCAGAGTCCTGCCACAATTAAGCTACATATTGATTATTGACCATTTGTGATATGCAGTAAAGAGCAAAAATTTTAAAAACTAATAAGTAGATTTAAAATTAATAAATAAAAATGTATTCTGACAGTTTGAGTTAATTACTTTCTATTTGCAAAATTTCTTCAACCTTAACACAAAATAAGAAAAAAAGAACTTTTAAGAAATTTGCAGGATTTCCTGGGATGAAAAGAATTTCCTGGAATATTTCCCAGATTAAAAAAACAACTGTATCCCATTTGAGAAACCCTAGTTTTTACATTCTTGGAAATAAGTTTCATTGATGATACACTAAGTTCTCAAGTGTTTTATTGAAATTTACTTCCATTTAGCAGTATTACTTTGTACATTAAAATATAAATAATACAAATACAGTGGGTGATCAGTTAACAAACATAATCTGTTCCAAGACTTTGTTTGTTAACCAATTACCAATTTACCATAGGTTTTTATGGGAATTTGATTAATTTGTTTAGGACACTCCAAAAAACTAAAAATATATTTTTACTACGTTTATTTATATGTAATAGTAAAAATGCATATATATGCAGTCTTACACTTTTATTAGTCATGTCTTTTCTGTTTATGGGGGTTAAAGAATCTGTCCAATGTCGATTGCTTTTCTCTTTTCAGAAGTAATTAATAGTATTGTAATTATAGAGATCCCCAACCCCATTAACCTGATTCTGGTTTGGATGCCACTTGGATGATTATTGTTCTGACATACTCCCACTTCTTCAAAAGATCTTTAGTAGCAGATTGGTCCTTTTTCATCTTCCTCTTTTTCAAAAGAAAACACAACTCGCTGAGTTTCTTGGTGTTGTTCATTTGAGAGTTCTTGTGTCATCAGATCAGTTTCAGATTCCATTATGAGCTCTAATGCTCTTTGTTTCTCAGATGTGATTTTCATTATTCCTTTAGCTGCTTGAGTCTTCTTAATTATATCTTTCTCAGCTAAGAAATTTGCCTACTGTAGACCTGTTCAAGCCATACTGCCTAGCAACATCAGACGTCTTGTGTCCACTTTCTACCATTGCTGTTATCTCTTACTTGGTTTCTAAGCCCTGTTGAAGTTTGAAATTTGGTATTAAAACGTTAATGAATATCTGATAGGACAGTTAAACTTTCACCTTTCATAAATAAACCCAGACGCAAAACAAGTGCCTATCCAACAGTCTTGTGAAGACTATAAAAAATTATTTGTCAGAAAAGTAAACAAAAAGCTGGAATTACAAGGGAGAGTTTCAAAATTCGGAAGAATACCATCTGATCGGTATTTGGTTGAGGTTTGATGTTGACGTCTCCTTCACTCAGAAAGGTTTCAAATTGTTACCTGAAGACAAGGGAAAATCATTTGGTATTCATTATTTTCCTTCACTTCTTTTTATGTTTGTTCAGTAAAGTGTTCGATGTCTGATCATAAAAATCTTTCACAAAAACTCCTTAAGGACATATCCCGAGATATCTCGGGCAAGTTACATAGCGTTACATAAACCTCGGGCGTTTGGACCCCCTAAAAATTTTTGTTTTTTTTGGATTTTTGGAATGTTTTTTAAGTCTCCAAATTTTTTCAAAATTTTTTTCCCACGTGAAAAAATTTTATTGCGATTTTAATTTACCTTTAATGACACGCGATTAATGCTTAATTGATTTTTAATGGGAGTTTGATATCAAATTTCATTCATCGTTCTAAAGTTGTAGTGCACGGATTTTCCTTCAGTAAAGTTATTTAAAGCTACTTTCTGATGTCAAAAACGACCTCCGATAGTTTTTAAATTTTTTTAATTAATAGATTTTATTATAAGTTTAATTAATTAGGGGGGTCGGAAATTGCAATAAAAATTTTAATTTTAAAAAATATTTAAAAATATACGGCCAGCTAGTATTCATCCTACTATAAACACATCGCCTCCCGAGACTTCTATGAGAATACCCCGGGAAATCCAACTCCAGCTATGTAAACAATGACTTATCAGCGTCAGATTTTTTTTTTTTTTTTTTTCAGTTTTAAATATTTTTTATGTTTAATTACATTAATATCAAAAATTTCTTTGTATGTAATGGGTTAACCGATCACTCACTGTATTTATAATTTAATACTTGTAATTTTACAAGAATCAATAGAAATGATATTAGTTTGAATTATTAATACATTACTTAATAGAGGTCTTTTCTAATTTATTGCTATATTTACTAAAGGAGATAAGAAAGATGTATACTCAATTACATTTGTAAAATGATGCCAATTTAATCTGAAAGTTAATACTAATAATGATGATGATTTTATATTTTCTATGTTTAAATACGTATTGATATTTAATTTTTAAATGAATATAAGTATAATGTTTAGAGCTCATATATATATATATATATAACATTCCAAGATCAAAAAATTGGAATTTTTAAGTATTATTATAATAATTTCATTCATAAAAAAAATTAATTATAATCATTTTATTTCAGATCATTTTGGTATTCACCTGATGATAGGTAAGTCTCTGAATTAGTTATCTTTAAAGATTTTGTTTAAAATTGTTTTCTGTACTATGATATGTGAGAGATGCTGCTAAGTATAACAATTGATAAATATTAAATACATTGTCATTTCTGCAGTTGAGATTAGCTAGGTGGTTTTGTAAACTATCCTTCAGTATTATAATGGATTTGAATTCAATCTAGATAGTTTTGATCTTCATAAATATCTTCCCATCTTTTTAGCCATATTTTTTGGTGTCATTATAGATAAAATTTACTCCACAATAGGAAAATTGGGATTATTAGAATAATTTTTATTCTTTATTACTGTGTCATCTATCAAATTTTATAATTGATGGTATATTGAGTGAATCAGCCAGAATGCAGTAGTTGAATTTTGAAGTCTAGAGAATTAGGGAATGTTACTATGTATAAAATGTACAATTACTTTACAATTAAAAATAAAAAAATTTGAATGACTCATATTTCTTTAAAGTTCTTTTCAGAGTTTGATTTATGTTTTAATGAAGATAATTTCATGATAAATCAGTTTAGACATATCTTATTATTGAAATTTATTGCTTTTTATTTTTGGAGTATGTGCATTGATTGAACAAATTAAAATAAATACTTATTTACAAAAGTTATCTTCTATGAATCTATACTCATTAAATTAATAATTTTATTTGTATAACCTTGACTTTCCTGTTCATATTAAGTTGAATTAATTTCTTTGTGTCTGATCTTTTTTACACTTACAAAGTTAAAAATATTTACCAGTAAATTAAAACATATGCCAGAAAAACTAGATGTTTATGATATCTGTATTGTTTTAATTGAAATAATTTAATTTACAGTTTTCAAGTGTTTTGTAAAATAATTTATATAACTGCTAGTAACCCGGGATACCCCCTAGTGGGCATTATTTACAAATTCCCATGAGGCACAGTTCCTTTGACTTTTTTGTTCCTATTAATATGCTCCACAGCTCTGTTAAAGTCTCAATTGCGTCATATGGATCTAGATTTATACCTATTAAACATTCTATAAATACTTTAAAATAGTTTAATTTGTTTATTTACCTTCACTTGTAAACCTCGATTTTAAATGTATCCATCATTTTTTCAACAAATTTCCCGTGAGTCAATGTTCACTGACCTGTGAGTCACGGGATGTTGTAAATGTGCTGCGCATGGTTAATCACAGCATATAATAAGGCAAGGCTAGGCATATGATAATTATTTATATCATTCTGTGGTATAAATAATAAATTCATATCAATAATAAATTCCTATTACAAATAAATATAATTTATTGTTAATTTAAAATCATCGCTAGGGCACCTCTAGTTTCCGTTTTTTAGCATACCGTTACACGAACGGACATGCGTTCAATGGGTTATATACATTGTCATTTTATTGTATTGATAATATCTATGTTCTAAACATTGTCATTTTTATCTCTATCTTTCTTCTACATTTTTACATTGTCATTTTTATCTTTATTGCTTTTTATATATTAATTTATTACTATTGATGTATTTATTATTATTATAAACTGATACCTTACATTAAAACTATGAACAACTCTACATCTTGGTATTGATTTGACAAAATTTATGAAAAATTTTTTGACATTCATAGCATTTAAATAACTGGAGTAAATTGTTTTTTGACAATTTTAACTTATGTACTAATGTATTTCAATAACTCATGTACAGTTGTACATGAATTATTGAATTTACCATTACAAAATTAGTAATAAGACAAAAACATACACATTACATAAATGTTTTGAGATTATTAATTAACAAGAAAATATATTAGAAAATTGGGATTTTATTGATGTAGGTATTTCTTTCATTTATTATGGATAAATTATTATTTTTAATTAAAAATAATAAAGGTATATTTAATAAAATAGGTTTATTAATGTATGATTAATTTTTTTCCTGAAAAACCAAAGGATGGACTATAAACATTTGCTGTCCTAAAATTACAGGATGTTCAAATTTTTTCCTAAAAGTAGGTCTATGATCAGGCCTACGTAAAGTAGATAATTATAATTGCCTAGGGCTCTGATATGAAAGAAGCCTGTAAGTTGATTTGTAAATTTTTATTTGTTTATATCTGAATTTAAATTGTTAGTGATCAAAGTGAATGTATTCTAACCAGGAATCACAAACTGTCATCCTTTGGACTTTATATGGCCCATTAATTAAGGTTTCATATCTGGCTGCAGCCTTGATGATGATGTTTCTAAAAATAAATGTTTCTAACATCTTGCAGGACTTAAAACAGAAGAAAATTCAAATGTCTAACTATTCACATAAGTTGTAAAGACCTGGCAACAAAACAGTCTTTGTTAGCTATTTTCCTAATTAAAGTATGTTTTCATTTACTGAATAATAATGTATATCAAACATGAACCATATTCATCTATTTGACTGGTTCTTTGTTGCATATGAGTTTGAGAGACTGCTGTAAACCAATAGAACTTTCAGGTTTTATTTATTACTAACACCTGTAGAGTATAGACAGAAACAAGTGTCAAATTAGATTGATCCAAGTTGGAAATTCATTGATATCGGAACATATCAGCAGAATTCAGTATTGTATTAATTCTAGTAAATACCAATATTTTTACATTGTTTTACTTTCAAAACTAACTAGTAATAGATAGATATATTTAACACGTTAACTGCCATACGACGTGCCTGCCGTTGATTAAACAATGTAGTTTCACTCAAGGTTAACTTATCCTGGCTTCATACGACATTTTTCAGCATGCTACTGGTGGCCTCTCGTGGACGTCTACGACCTTGGTTTCTAACGTCAGCAGTTGGTTTCGAACTCCAACTGCTGGTGCGTCGTAATGTGGTTCAAGTGTCACCGGTCGTAGTGTTTTTTTTTTTTTTTTAAATAAAAAGCTATTTTATATCTGATAGCATTTTTTAAATAGTGAAAAGGTAAAAAAAAAGGATAAAAAACAAAAACTAGTTTAAATTATTTGCTTTTATTACAGAACAAAAATTGTATAAGTGGAAATAATATAATATATACAACATTTAGAGAGAGAAATTTATAATGAGTATAAAAGTATAAAAATCAATATAAAAGTTTTACTTACATATATAATATTCATTTATGAATTTTTACAAAACAATTTGAACACATTGCATGTTCTCCTGGACACTGAGTGCAATATGTAGCAACTTGTGGCGTTACGCTTGCTAAATCAGCTTTACGACCTCCAAATTCCCCTCTATTTTTAGTGTAGCAGGATACACAATGCTTCCTTAGTTTTCTGTTTCTTTTGTCGACATCTCTGTTTCCAATGTGTGAAGTTCTTTCGGGTTTCAAGCTGCAGGTTCTTGATGACTTTCATCACCATTTGAGTAAGCTTTTCACTAAAGACTCTTTGAAGGTGGTAATAGATAGTTTTTTATCAGATATTTTCTTGTATATATGTGCATTGATGACGGTAGTCCCAAATATAAGCTCCATTGCAACTTTGTGATACCATTTTACCGACTTTCATACTGCAGTGGAGTAACTAGAGTATTGATCAGATAAATCAATATTCGTTTTCCCAATATTGTAGTCTTGAACTATTTTAGGTTTGAAAATTTCTTCTTGTTTATAGTTTCTTTTACCTGTAGAAGTAATTTCTGTTGTATGTTTTGTAGACAACATAAGCACATCCCGTTTATCTTTCCATTTTGCTACAACTATTCCCTTTTCATTATGCATACCAATAATTTCGTTTTTAGATAATTTTTTTGTTTACTACTTCCTTGGGAATGTGTTTCCTATTTTTTTCAGGGTTCCTATAAAATGGTTACTTCTTTCTAATAAATGTTCTGCCAGTTCAATCGATGTGTAGTAGTTATCTGTTGTGAATGTACGTCCTTGGCCTAAATATTTTTTGCCTAGCTTTAGAACAACATCAGTTGCTAGGGAAATATTTCTCTGTGGTCTTTCACTTTTACCTTTATAAATTTGTATGCCATAAGTGTATCCAGTATTATCAGCCATTTTGTACAGTTTAACACCATATTTGTGATGTTTTCCAGGTATATACTGACGGAAACGTAATCGTCCTCTAAATGCGACCATTGTTTCATCTACGCATAACTATTCACCAGGTATATTATAATATTGATATAGCTCCTCGAGTATGTCTTTCAGAGGATTTATTTTATGTAATCAGTCTCCATTACCTTCTTCGTTGTTTGAGAAATGCCACATCGACAGTAATAATTCGAATCTGTTTCGTGACATGGTTGGTAGTGCAATATCATTTTTATATATGCGCTGTTTATTCCAGTAATCTGATACTTTTGGGTATCTCACTAACCCCATCCACAATGAAAGTCCAAGAAATTTCTTCATTTTCCCTGTATTATAGTCTTTCCGTAATCTTAGCCTGCTACTTCTACTTAGTTTTTCTGGCCAACAATTGCACTGCATAAATGTTTGTTTGCAGTGTGATATGTTCAATTACTCTATCATTGATAAAAAGTTCGTAGAACTTTATCGGCTCATCATTCAATGACAAATTTATATTTTTCAGTCCTCCACTGAATGTGTGTGGAAAAATTTGATGCTTTATCCGTGTTTTAGGTTGAATGAGTTTCCAAATGTTACTCACCTCGTATACTTCTTCTTCACTTGAAGAACTTAGTGATATTGATTCATTATCACTAAGTTCTTCGCTACTTTCCTGTCTTTGGTGTGCGACACACCACTTGTGCTGGCCATTTCTACAAGTTAGACTAAATAATTGCCAACTGTAAAATTCCACCAGCACGGAATGTTTAGTACTAAGGATGCACCGATAAGCAAAATGACCATTCCCAATTAATTGGCCATGCATTATCGGCCGATACCGATTAATCGGCCGATTAGTGATGATAATTTATTGCATTAATAGTGAGAGATCCTGGAGTTAATTATACAGTTAATTATAATGTGGAAAAAACCCATTTTTCTCCTTCTGGTATTTCCATCTCC